CATTTTTTAAAATTCTTTTATCTGATTTTTCCTCACATAAGTTGGTGTCAAGTGCTTTATCTTCAATCTCACTAATTCTGACTTCTATTGCCTCAGTTCTGCTTCTATAACTTTCTAACGAGTTGTCTAATTCTGAAATTTTATTGTTAATCTTCTGGATTTGATTGCTGTCTTTCTGTGGATTCTTGCAGCCTATTAAATTTGTCATTATGCTCTTGAATAACCTTCTTAAGATCTTCTGTTGCTTTTTCTGCGTGTTCCTTGGCTTGGTCTGCGTTTTGAATGATCTCCTTCCTGATATCTTGAAGAATTCTGTATATTAATCTTTCGTATTCTACCTCTGGTAATTCCAAGAAATTCTCTTCCTCTGGAAAATTTCTTGATTCTTTGTTTTGGGAGCTTGCTGAAGTCATCATGGTCTGCCTGCTTATGTGATTTGATATTGACTGTTGTCTCTGAGCCATCAATAAGATATTTATTTTTTGTTTGCTTACTGTGTCCGAGCTTCTTATTTTGATATGCCCAGATAGGCTGCTCTGTGAGCTAGTTTTATTATTGGGGGTATTTGAGGCTCTAAAGTCCTGTCTCCAGGAAGTTAGATCTGTTAATAGGTATGTGGGCCCAGGAATCTGTTTACTTTTCTTGTATTAATTCAGCTCAGGTGTCCAGGTAGTCGGTCACCAAGTGTGTGGTGAAGGCTCTCACCTACAGTCCTAGCCAGGCATGGGTGATTAGTGTAGGCACAGGTATCTGGCTGCAGTAAGGCATCACATGCTGAGCAAGGCAGGGGCTGACGGATGCCCCCGAGTGTCTGGGAGGAAAGCATGTCCGTCTTCCCTAGACCGCATAGGTTGGTGGGTTTTTGAGCCTGGCTGACATCTTGACTGTAATTTCATGAAAGACCCTGAGCCAGAACACCCAGGTAAGCCACCTCAAATTCCTGGTCCATGGAAACTGTGAGATAATAGTGCTTTTGGTTTTAAGCTGTGAAGCTTTGGGGTGGTTGATACACAGTAATAGATTACTAATATACCCTCTGACAAGGATCTCTGACTACAAACTTTTACATCTTGCTGTTATCATCTTATATAGGTCATTAATTATTCACTGTTTTATCAAGTTTACGCAAAGTTTTAGGTCTTCTTCCTGAGCTATTTATACATATTTTCCCTAGTTGAGTTTGACTTATAGGTAAATACCTGTCATGGATTGAATTGTGTCCCCCAAAAATATCTGTCAACTTGGCTAGGTCATGATTCCCGGTATTGTATGATTGTCTACCATTTTATCATCTGATGTGATTTCCCTATGTGTTGTAAATGCTATCACTCTGATGTAATAAGATAGATTAGCGGCAGTTATGTTGATGAGGTCCACAAGATTAGATGGTGTCTTAAGCCAATCTCTTTTGAGATATAAAAGAGAGAAGTGAGCAGAGAGACACAGGGACCTCATACCATCAAGAAGCAGTGACGGGAGTAGAATGCATCCTTTGGACCTGAGGTTTCTGTGCTGAAATTCTCCTAGACCAAGGAAAGACTGATGCATCACAAGGACCTTCCTCCAGAGCCGACAGAGAAAGCCTTCCCCTGGAGCTGACACCTGAATTTGTACTCGTAGCCTACTACACTGTGAGAATAAAGCCATCTTTCTTAAAGCCACCCACTTGTGGTATTTCTGCTATAGCAGCACTAGATGACTAGGACAACAACTTAGGTCTGAATCTTCTTTCTGCCCTGAATTAGATGCATGTCCTTTGTATGCCCACTCTCTTAACTTCTTTGAATCCTAGTTTCTTCACATCTGTAAAGTGAGAACAATATATTTTACCCAATTTACAAGAATATTATGATGATCAAAAGAGAAACTGTATGCAAATTTGCTTTGGAAACTGTAAAAGCCTATATGAAATAGGAGAACTCTAATAAAAATTTATATCACAGGCCTGTAAGTTCTATTTGTGGGGAGTTGTTGTTCTACAGTTATATGCTTATGAGGGAGAAGAATGGCCATTTGCTAAGACAGTTCAAGCTCATACTTACCACTACCCCTTTGCTAACAAACTTTCCAAGTACTTGGAAAGTTGCATTTAATAGAAAGTCCACCGCACTGGGAGCCAAAGAACCCCATTGCCAGAAACTCATATTTCCCTCTCAGATGTCAAGGTTAAAATTTTTTTCTTCTAGAAATTTTATATCCATATATATGTTTGTACCTACTCTTAAAAACAAAAAAGATGTAAATGCAGAACAATGGTTCTGCAATTTTCTTTATAAAAATGCAGAACCATTGTATCTTGTATCTTAACATACCTTATGTGATAGATCCTATCAGGGCATATAAATCTACTTTATTGTTTTATTTGCTTACTAGATTTCCATTGTATGGTTGTTGCTGCTATCAGGTGCCACTGTGTCAGTTCCGACTTACAGCGATCCTATGTACAACAGAACAAAACACTGCCCGGTCCTGTGCCATCCTCACAATCGTTGTTATGTTTGAGCCCATTGTTGTAGCCACTGTGTTAACCCATCTCGTTGAGGGTTCTCCCTTGTTTTGCTGACCTTCTACTTTACCAAGCATGATGTCCTTCTCCAGGAACTGGCCCCTCCTGATAACATGGCCAAAGTATGTGAGACGAAATCTCACCATCCTCGCTTCCAAGGAGCATTCTGGCTGTACTTCTTCCGAGACAGATTTGTTTATTCTTCTGGCAGTCCACATTATATCCAATATTCTTTGCCAACATCATAATTCATAGGCATCAATTCTCCTTTGATCGTCCTTATTCACTGTCCAGGTTTCGCATGCATCCTCAAAGTGGTATCTTTGCTTTTTAACATTTTAAAGAGGTCTTTTGTAGCTGATTTGCCCAATGCATAGATGTTCCATAATTCAGCCAATTCTTTATTGATGAACAGTTTTTTTTTTTTTGGACAGGAATAAGCTATACTGTTTAATACTTATCATGAAAGCAATTTAACATAGCAGTTAGGACTTTAATTTTGAGTCAGATGCTGGAAATACTACTAGCCAAGCATTCCATGAATGCTCATTACAAGCCAGGATGATGAGACTTTGTCTTACATACTTTGCTCATGTTATCAGGAGGGACCAGTCCCTGGAGAAGGACATCATGCTTGGTAGAGGGTCAGCAAAAAAAAGGAAGACCCTTGACAAGATGGATTGACACAGTAGCTGCAACAATGGGCTCAAGTAAAACGATTGTGAGGATGGCGCAGGACCAGGCAGTGTTTCATTCTGTTGTACATAGGGTTGCTATGAGTCAGAATAGACTCAATGGCACCTAACAACAACGACAAGCGTCCCTGGGCTGTACAAACCTCAGTTTCTCCAACTGAAAACCTGAATCAAGAACAGCCATTTTCCAGAGCTATAAAGGCTAAATGAAATTATTTGCAAAGCATCCAGCATAGAACTTGGCAAGAAAGCTTTCAAGAAATCCTTTATTAGTGGTCCTTGAAAAATTGGGATTCAGTCCGTTAACAGCTGCTCGGTATTTTGCTGCTGTTGCTGTTTGTTGTAGCAGCTGACAACAGGAACAGGGGATTAAGCGCAGCATTTGACCTAACTAATGAGGTCTCTAAATTGAAAACAATTTAAGCTTTTCCTCACAATCTACTGTATTATTGGTACTGTTTTGTCTATCACTTTGTGATTTTCTCAAGGTGGGCCCTGAATGTGGAAAATGAGGGAGTCAGATGACCAGATTTCAAACTGCTGGGGGATACTGGTTGGAAAGTTAAGGAGTGTATCTCAGCCCATCACCCCTTATAGAGTTTATCTGTTGTATATGTTGTACTTTCACATAAAGTCTAGTTGATAAATTTCCTTGGCACAAAGTTTGAAGAACCATTGGGTTCATTCATTAATTCTTTCCTTCATTCAGAATGCATTTATTGAGCATTTTCCAAGCCCAAATGCTGTGACAGGGCTGAGATTCAGTCTCCAATCTCAGACACCTACAATGTACAGAGTAGCAAGTAATCCCAACAATTACAATACAGCGTTCACCATAGCCCATGAATCTTCAGCTCTGTAATACTGAACTTCTTATGGCTACCCTGAATATGCATGCCATTTGACCTTTCCCCATCTTCGTATACACTGTTCTCTATTGTCCAATCCTACTTTCGTTAAGCTTGAAAAATATCCTAGTTATACTTTAAAATGCGGTTTAAATGTCGCTCCCAGTTAATCAACTCCGTATCATGTACATACTCCTGCTGTTGCAGTTACTACGTACACCACAAATGGCCATTATTTATCTATATAAAGTATTTATTTATGGTACAGTATGCACAGGGGTAGGTGGTGAACAAGATAAACTTGGTTCTCGACCTTACAGGCAGGAGTTTCGCCTGTGGGAGGCGAACAATACAGTAATTAATAAATTAAAAGAAAAACTCAGATTTTGATGTATTCTAAGAAGGTAACTGTGTGATGTAACAATACTCAGTGCTTTGACATACATTATCCCATTTAATTCTGTTTGAACAAAGCGCTGCAGACGCACAAAGAAGGAAGTTACCGGAGCCTCGGCTCAATCCAAGGGCTTCTCAGAACAGGTGCCACTAGAACTGGGCGTTGATGAAGGAACAGGCGTTCGCCACGCAGGAAATGGGGTAAGAACTAGGTACACATGAGTCGTGGTGCGTGGTGCGTTGTACCGTCCGCCGCATCTCTTTCAGCCACAACGTTCTTCCAGGCACATCTGGCAGGAGTCGGGACAGCTACCTCAGCGGTAGAGCCCGGACACCGGCGTACCGCGACGACCTCGGCGCCTGCGCGGCGCGCTCCTCCCTCCGCGCCGCCAGCTTGGACCTCCGCGCCCCGGCGGCCAGGAAGCCGCACGCTCTCAGGTAGCGCCGTAGCACGCCGAGTCATCGATCGGAAGTTCCCTTGCAGCAGGGCTCGGCGCTGGACGCCAGCTGCCTGTTCGCCGGGTCGGCTCTAGGGGGCGACCTTATAGGAGGGACAGAGCGCCCTTGTTCCAGGGACTAGCTGGCTGAGCGGTCGCCGTAGCGGCGACTTTTCTCCGTTACACCTCAGCACTTTAACAGCACCGGTAGTCCTCGCTCCGCTTGAGGCGGGAGCTGCTTGGCCCCGCCGTCGCCACTGTCGCCGCCGCCAGGTCCAAGCCCCTGGCTACTCCCGCTGCCGCCATGAAGCTGCGGGTCCGGCTTCAGAAGCGGACTTGGCCTCTGGAGATGCCGGAAGCGGAGCCGACGCTGGGGCAGCTGCGCGCCCACCTGGGCCAGGCCCTGTTGCCCACTTGTGGATACAGGTACGCGGGGGCGGCTGGGGGTGAGGCCCGGCCGTGGAGGTTGGTGGTGTACGGTGGGAGAAGTGATAGTGTAACTCGGACGTTTGCGTGTGACTCTGCGCTCTCGAGGGCGTGGGTACCCATGTGTGACGCCGTGAGGTTTGGGGTTGCCTGTGCTACTGCTGGCCCCGGCATCGCTGAGCGCTCCGCTGGGGTGCGGGGACGCCCCGGGCCGTCACGTGAGGGCTCGGCGCTTTGACGGCGTCGCCGTTCGGAAGCGCTCCTGGTACTGTGACTCGCGCGGCCTCGGAGGCAGTGCCAGGGTGACGCGTCGGGTCGTGAGCGGGGAGCTGGGGTTGCTTTTGCCGAAGTCCCGGCTGCGAGGACACATGGCCCAGCCTCCCGGGGGCTCCGACCCCCTCCAGAGTAAGTAACCGACTCCGATTTTGTGGTAAACGAAACCATGGATAGGATAGAACGCACAATTCACAGGATTTTTAAAATTTAAAGTTGGAAATGATGACCTTGGCTTGGTTTAAACCTTTCCAGACTCTAGGGGTTTAAGTTCACTTTCTGCGCCTGTTCGAGTATTTCAGTGAAACGGTTTGGGAAGTACTACAAGTTAACAATCTGCCCTCCATCCGAAGCCATCCTTAATTTGTACCGCTGCTGTAGGCAGCAGTAATTTTAAGACAACGTTTAGTGTCTATGTGCCAGGCCCAGGGGTGACAACTTTCACTGATCCCGCTGCAAAGTTTCCCAAAGTACAGCCGGTAAAAGTGCTTCACATCATGTTATTGTCCTGGGCGAGATGTTGCTTCTTCGTTAAAACTTTGGGCCTTATAATGACGCTGGGGAACTTGCAGTGTTAGGACAGTGAAGTTAAGAGGTAAAGGATTAAATTCTGTTAATTTGTGGGGCTGCTGTTGAGGTGTTTTGTTTCCATAGAAGATATTTTCTGGGGACAGTAATCTGGGAATAGAGGACAAAATAAAGGTGATTCTTTTCAAATATTGAGCTAATGAACTCGGAATTTTGAGCTAAGACGAAAGAAGTTCCTTTGGGGGGCTTTTTGGGTGAATTCTTCAAGAGAAAACCTTGTTAATTGAGGTTGTTCCTTTCATAAGACTGTTAATAAGCGTCCAGTTTATTTTTAGGGAGTTAAGTAAAGTGAGGCCATATTATGATCTCACTTTTTCCTTTTTAAAGTTAAGACATTATTAGATTAAAAGTAAGCCTGTTTTCCTCCAAATTTTAAAAAAATGAGGTATTGACATAATTTCTTTTAAGTGACATGAGTATTGTTAATTTTTTTGCCTTAAACCTAAATGTTTTGCTTGCTGCTGTCATTACCCCATCATAAATTTTCAAAATTAGCTTCTTTTCAAGGCATTTTCATATATATATCTATATATTTTACTGTTATTAGTTTTTAATTAGGCAGGATGATCTTGAAAGAATGTGAAACACAGTGTGACTCTTGTTTGTGAAGAGCTTAAGTTCATTTCTCTTCCAGGTTCGTTTTTTACAGTTAAGGCTGATTTACAGGAGGGAATTTAAGTTGCAGCTTATTAAAATAAATGTGTTCTTTTGAAAGTATGTTCATTGTATAGTAAAAGGACAGTTTTAAAAGGTGTACATATGACATTGTGATTTTCAGTGTCTTTACTGAGCAAGTAGATTTGGGATTGTCATAAAAATGTTTTGAAAAAGCCTGGGAGTTTGTCGGATTTCATTTTCTGTTAAACTTAAAATTTAAGTTCAGAAAACAGAACAATTTCAGAAAACAACTGTTTTAAACCCCCCTCCTGGAAAACTACATGTTATTTTAGAAATAGCTCTTCCCTTTTTTTAAAGGGTGAAGAGAGGGTGATGGTTTTTATTAAGCAGACAGTTCTTTGCCTTTTCTACAAATAGATATTTGTATTCGATACTGTTAAAAGAAAACCTTTTGCTGTGACAAAGGATCCATAAATGCGTATAGTTCACTTGAGATGTTTTTCCTTTTTCTGCTAAAGCTGGGATGGTGTTTTTATAGGCAGCTGGCAGATTTTCAACATTTTTTCTCAAAAACATTTTGAATCCGAAGCAGAGCCACTTGTTTTCTGAGAAGCAGGAGTGGTTTCTATTCCAGTAATTTCTCTACCAAGGATTTTTTTTTTTTAATTTTAATTTTTTATTTTTTTTATATTTTATTGTACTTCAGGTGAAGGCTTACAGAACAAATAGTTTTTCATGAAACAGTAGTACACATGTTGTTTTATGACATTGGTTAACAACCCCACAACATCTTAACCCCCTAAATTCTCAACCTTTTTTTTTTTGGTGAAAATACACATAGCCGAAGATAACACCGTTTCAAAAATTTCTACATACACAGTTCAGTGACATTGACTACGCTCTTCCAATTGTGCTGTTATTCTCACTTAAGATGAAGGCTTACAGAACAAAATAGTTTCTCATTTAACAGTTACTACAAATGTTGCCCTATGACAATGGCTAACAATCTCACAACACCAACAATATCCTTACTCAACCTTGGGTTCCCTATCACCAGCTTGCTTGTCCCCTTCTGCCTTCTGGCCCTTGTCACTGGACTCCTGTACCTCGTTAGTCTCATTTGGTTTTACGGGGCTGTCCACTCCCAGGCTGAACAGTGAACCTCGGAGGTAACTTCACCACTGAGCTGAAAGGGTGTCTGGGGCCATACTCTCGGGGTTTCTCCAGTCTCCTTTAGGGCAGTAAATCTGGTCTTTTTTTTTGTGAGTTAGAATTACGCTCTACATTCTTCTCCAGCTCTGTCCAGAACCCTCTGTTGTGATCCTGGTCAGAGCAGTCAGTGGTGGTAGCCGGGCACCATCTAGCTGTACTGGACTCAGTCCGGTGGAGGCCTTTCTACCAAGGATTTTTTAAGTGGTGATAAAAAAAAAAAATGTACTTACAGTTGAAAGGAAAACAAATGAATTATTTTGAGCACTTTTGAAAATGCAGCATTGTACATAAGAAAATACAATGTGATTGTCAAAGGACTTTATCCTTTGTTAACGTCTCAAAAAGTTAATGAAGTCAGCATTCCTGAGTGTAAATGGTCTTACAGAACCTTTTACAATGGTTTTGTTTTCCCTCGACACCATGTGGGGAAATGATGGTTATCCTTACAAAGTCAGATAATTGTGATACAGAAAGAGGGAGTTCATTGCCTAAGGTTTACTAGAGCTCTTCGATAGTTCAGCAGCGAGTTTTTCAATTTCTGCTGTCTTCCATGTAGAAGAACGCATCCTCAGTAGGAGGGATGCAACTTGTCATCATCAGTAGGAGGGATAATTTGTACTCTGTCATCTACATATGCTCATCTAACTTCTGTGATTATGAATAGTTATGTAGGACGTGGGTCTAGGTTTCTGAACCAAAGTAAGCTGACTGTCCTGCATGGACATTGAATAGGCAGCCCTGATTTCAGTCTCATCATGGTATTCCCAATAACTTTTGGTGGTTGCGTTTTTATTCCACAAATACTTAAGAGTACCTACTATTTGCCAGGTGCTGGAGATACTGTGTTGCACCGGACAGACAAGATTCTGATCTTATGAAACTTAAATTCTAGTGGTGGGGTAAGGAAGACAGAGATAAACAGATAAATATGATGTTTTCAAATAGTGGTATTACAATAAAAATAAAACAGAATGGACTAGAGAGTGATAGAGGCGGGGGGAAGGCATCCCTGAAGAGGGGACACTTGATCTGAGACCTGAACGGTGAGAAGGAGCCAGTCATTTCAAGATCTGGAAGAACAAGTGCAAAGGCCCAAAGGCTGCAAGGAAGTTGATCTGCTTGGAGGAATAGATACAAAGCTCCTGTGAATAGGAAACAGTGTGCAAGAACAGTGGCACAAGATGAGGTAGAAGTGAGTACGGATCAAATGATAAAAGTCTTTGGAGGCCACGTGTCTTTTAGTCATCTAGTGCTCCTCTAACAGAAGTACAACGAGTGGATGGCCTCAACAAAGAGAAGTTTATTCTCTCACAGTCCAGTAGGCTACAAGTTCAAATTCAGGACATTAGCTCCAGGGGAGCTTTCTCCATTGGCTCTGGAGGAAGGTCCGTGTCATCAGTCTTCCTTTGGTCTGGGGGCTTCTCTGTGCAGGAACCTCAGGTCCAAAGGACACACTCTGCTCCCGGCACTGCTTTCTTGGTGGTAAGAGGTTCCATGTGTCTCTGCTTGCTTCTCTCTTTTATATTTCAAAAGAGATTGGCTTAAGACACTATCCAATCTTGTAAACCTCATCAGTATAACCTCATCACAGTGATAGAATTTACAGCACATAAGGAGATCACATATAACCTCATCATAGTGATAGAGTTTACAACACATAAGGAAATCACATCAGATTACCCAATCATACAGTAATGGGAATCATGACCTAGCCAAGTTGACAGAATTTTGGGGGGGACACAATTCAATCCATGACACCATGTTAAGGATATTATTCAAAGTTCAGTTAGAGGCCATTGGAGAGTTCTAAGCAGAGAGATTATGTGATACCAGTTACATTTTAAAAAGGCTGTATTTCCTTGGATCTAAGTTGCCATCAGTTATAAGACACATATTGTTTTATGTAACACTTAAGAGAGAAAAATGCTGCCTGTTAAACTGCCATGTCATGGATTTTAAGAAGTATTCCAATTTCCAAGATGTTTAAATGTAAAAAAAGTATGTATCTTAGGATCGATTAAAACATGGATTAATGATAGAAAATACTGTATCCTGTCCCCCAGGCTAGAGTTTTAGTCATTAGAAATCTGTAACTTAGGTATTCGATGATAAAAACAAATAATTTTGATACCTTTCTCAAAACTTTAACCTCTTGTTTTTTTTTTTCGTTTGTTTTGTTTTTGTTTCTTAGTTCTTCTTGGGCCATATAGCGTACCTTAAATGTGTTCCAAATGTATTATTGAGGGTTATGGTAACAGGTAGCCCTCACTATCCTTATTCGTCTTTCTTGGCAGTTCTGATACCCGGTTTGCAATTACATTGAACAACAAAGATGCCCTCACTGAAGATGAAGAGACCTTGGCTTCATATGGGATTGTTTCTGGGGACTTGATATGTTTGATTCTTGAAGATGCCATTCCAGCACCTAATTTACCTTCATCCACAGATTCAGAGCATTCTTCACTCCAGAGTAATGACCCACCCTCTTTGGCCGCCAGCTCCAACCAGTCCAGCATACAAGATGAACAACTGATTGATTCATTCCAAGGACAGGCAGCCCAATCTGATGTCAGGAATGATGACAGTATGGTGGGTATTAAAGACCAAAACACAAAATAGGGTGGTTGATAAATCACGTTGATCACTTCAGCCGAATTCCGCCCAGTCAGGATGATTGTCATCTCTAGATTACATATCATATCCACATTCTGGCTGTACTTCTCCCAAGACAGACTTGTTCATTCTTCTGGCAGTCCATGGTATAGTCAATATTCTTCACCAATACCTAGTGACTGCTTTTGTGCCTTTGCTTTTGCTGTCCACCCAGCCTGGCATTCACTACCTTTCCCCCCTCTCCTATTTGTATTTCTACCTATCTTCCAAGGCCCTTGCCAACCATAGCCCAGTAATTTTCCTTAATGTCTTTGTACTGATTATATTTTTTGCCTTGTAAGCACCTCATTAGTGTTTATTATCCTGGCTTTTAATTTCTTATATGGTACAAATTATCACTTTTATTACTTAATTTTTTAATACTAGTACATATGCTGTCTTGTTAATTGTTTTGTATGTGTATACTTATCACCACAACTAAATTTGTTTGTGGGCCTTAAACATTTATAAGTATTTATGGTGCCAGTTGGCAGTTGGAATCCACCAGCTGTTCCTTGGAAACCCTATGGGGCAGTTCTACTCTGTCCTCTAGGGTTGCTGTGAGTTGGAATTGACTTGACGGCAGTAGGTTTGGTTTGGTTTTTGATATAATGGCATTAGGTATAGATAGGTATTAAAAATACTTTTTGACAGGTTGGTAAATTGTGAAAATCATCTATATCCAGATACATGAATTTTATTTTTAATAATAATATCCAGAGAGGTTTTAAATAAATTAGAAAACATTTACAAAGCTCAAAGTATTTCTGTATTAACTTTAATTTTTAAAGAAATTTTTGTGTGTGTGTTTCTGTCTCATAGAGGTAATCTGGGGGATGAGTAAGAATCTTTTGCCATATATTTAAATTACATTTCTGAATCTTTTTTACTGATAGACTCACTCAGAGATGACCTCTGGTAGAGGGGAGACTCACTCAGAGATGGCTTCTGGTAGAGGGGCCCATTCCCTTCTGTGTACTGTTAAAATCATACAGTAAGATGGAACATTTTTTGTAGTATATGTAATAGTTACTAGTTTCCTTCTGGAAACTTTTGAGAAGTTAACGGTGCCTCAAGTTATTAATTTCATTTCTTAAAAGCATGGCTTGTATTCTAAGGCTTGTATAGGGTGCTGTAAAATCTTAGTGTGGAAACAGAGCTTGAAATCTCATAAATAATGCTTTATGTACTTGAATCAGTAGGATCAGCTAATTAAAAGTAGAATGAAACGTTAGGAAAGGAAAATAGACGGGTAAAACTTGAAACACTAAGGGGAAAATTTTACTCTTGTAGTTAAGTGTAAATTAATCTTATTACACTGTATTTGGGAATTCATCCAGTACCTTTTGAGTCTTTAATGAGAAACACAGATAACATGGTATCAGACCCCAGTATTAGCTCTAACCTGCATGTTAGTCACTTGTTTCAGTCTTTTGTAAAATGATCTGTTCAGAGAGGTGGTGCTCACCATTTTTTAAATTTTTCCATAAATATTCTCTCCCACATGGCTGTCATTAGGTAGTAAATGATCCAAAGTTAGGCATAATAATAGGTAAAGAGCCTATACACTTGATAATTTAGCTAGGCCTTAAGTTTTTTTTAATTCAGTGCTTTCTATTTGCTCAGAAAATGCGGCAGAAATGGTTTTGTGCCATACCTCCTTTCTAGGCGGTGTGAATTGTTGTGGTCCTCTAGGTTTTAGGAAGTGAATTTGGGTCTTTTCCGTAAGCCATCAGAGCTTAGGTCCTCGGGGATTTTGGAAGAAGAGCTGTCACCTGTGACTTCCTTCCATTCCTCCAACCTTGTAAAATTACCCATGAATTTTAATTTCCTCTGCCTCTTTTTCAATGGGAAATGCGAGCATAAAAAGAAGAGACACCAGCTTTGTACTGAGTTCAGCACATGCCTAGGAAACAAACTTTTTGAGCAAAATTAATATAGGTAACAGTTTTATCGAAGCAGTATGTTATATCTAAGAGAGCCGTGAGTCTGAAGATCCGGGTTCCTTTCAAATTTTTATTAGCTGGTAACATGATTGAGTTATTTCATCTTTTCAGAGCCACAGTTATACCATGTTATATATTATAAAAAGGCGACATCATCTGCCTTGCCTATTTTATAGGCTTGTTGTAAGGAGCAAATGAGAAAGCACTTTGAAAACAAAAACATTATGAAATTGTAACATACTACCTTTCAGCATTTCTTCAACAAGCATTTATTGAGTACCCATTATGTGCCAGGTACTGTATTGGGGTTACAAACATGGATGACACGGGGTCTTATCCTTCCTAAGCTTGAAGTCAGAGTGGGATGCAGATGTATAATCAGAAGATTGCAGTACCCCATACCCATTGCCAGCGAGTTGATTCCTGACTCATAGTGACCCTATAGGACAAAGTAGAACTGTCCCATAGGGTTTCCAAGGCTGTAATCATTACCGAAGCTGACTGCTGCGTCTTTCTCCTGAGGAACGGCTAATGAGTCCAAACTGCTGACCTTTTTGGTTAGCAGCCAAGCCCTTAACCACCATGCCACCAGGGTGCCTTGAAAATTGCAGTGCAGTGTGATAAAGTGCAGTGATACAGGCCTTTGCACGGCAGGGTTGTAGTATGAATTACCTCTGCTAAAGAGGTGGGAAGTATCAGAGTGGGGAGGAGGGACTGGCAGAAGGTAAACTTGACCCAGAGTCAGAGATCAGATGACGAAGGGCCTTGCATGTTAAGGAGGTTAGGAGTTTGGACATTATTTTGTAGGCCTGCATTTCTTAAGAGTATTCACTATGAAAACCTTGTTTCATGAGATTGTAAACAAGTGTTACAGGGATGCTGAGTGTTGAGGAATTAAGATAGTGTTTCTTGGTTAAATGTTATGTACACTTTAAAAAAAAAATTATTGGACTTCTCAGAGCGTTTTATAATGCTGATAATTTGTGAATATGGAGGATGAGGTTAGGTAGCTATAGTGTGTAGCATTTTCCAGACTTATTTGGTTGTGGACCCTTTTTTTCCCAAGAATATCTAGGGCCAAATTACAAGGCACAATTTAGAGAAACACTACTGTCTGCTGTCACTTTAGGGAAACATCATTTCTGTCAGTTTGTAATACTGTAGGGGCTCGCGTGTTGCTCTGATGTTGGAAGCTGTGCCACTGGTATTTCAAATATCAGCCTGGTGGACAGGTTTCAGCTGATCTTCCAGACTAAGACAGACTAGGAAGAAGGACCTGGTGGTCTCCTTCTGAAAAAATTTACCAGTGAAAACCTTACGAATAGCAGCGGAATATTGTCTGATATAGTGCTAGAAGATGAGCCCCTCAGGTTGGAAGGCACTCAAAATACAACTGGAGAATAGCTGCCTCTTCAAAGAAGAGTTGACGTTAATGACATGGATGAAGTCAAACTTTTGGGACCTTCATTTGCTGATGTGGCATGACTGAAAATGAGAAGAAACAGCTGCAAACATCCATTAATAATGGAAACGTGGAATGAAAGAAGTATGAATCTAGGAAAACTGGAAATCGTCATAAATGAAATGGAACGCATAAACGTTCATATCCTAGGCATTAGTAAGCTGAAATGGACTGGTACTGGCTGTTTTGAATCAGACAGTCATATGCTATACTATGCTGGCAAAGACAAATTGAAGAGGAATGACGTTGCATTCATCGTCAAAAAGAACGTTTCAAGATCTATTCTGAAGTACAATGCTGTAATGATAGAATAATATCCATACGCCTTCAAGAAGACCAGTTAATAATGATTATTACTCAGATTTGCAGAAAAATAAAATTGAAGATTTTTTTTTACCACATTCTGCAGTCTGAAATTGATCAAACGTGCAGTCAAGATGCATTGATAATTACTGGCTATTGGAATGTCAAAGTTGGAAACAAAGAAGGATCAATAGTTGAAAAATAGGTATTGGTGTTAGAAATGATGCCAGAGATCTGCATGATAGAATTTTGCAAGACCAATGGCTTTTTCATTGCAAATAACCTTTTTTCAACAACATAAATGACGACTGTACATGTTCCTCACCATATGGAATACACAGGAATCAAATCGATTACATCTGTGGAAAGAGACGATGGAAAAGGTCAGTATCATCAATCAGAAGAAGGCCTGGGGCTGACTGCGGAACAGACCGTCAGTTGCTCATATGCAAGTTCAAGCTGAAGCTGAAGAAAATTGGAACAAATCCACAGAGCCAAAGTATGACCTTGAGTATATCCTACCTGAATTTAGAGACCATCTCAAGAATAGATTTGATGCATTGAACACTAATGACCAAAGACCAGACGAGTTGTGGAATGACAACAAGGACGTCACACATGAAGAAAGCAAGAGTCATTAAGAAGACAGGAAAGAAAAGACCAAAGTGGCTATCACAAGAGACTCTGAAACTTGCTCTTGAATGTAGAGTAGCTAAAGCAAAAGGAAGAAATGATGAAGTAAAAGACCTGATCAGATTTCTAAGGGTGACTCAAGAAGACAGAGTAAAGTGCTATAATGAAGTGTCAAAGACCTGGAGTTAGAAAACCAAAAGGGACGAACATGCTCAGCATTTCTCAAGCTGAAAGAACTGAAGAGAAAATTCAAGTTTTGAGTTATAATATTGAAGGATTCTACAGGGAAAATATTAAACAACACAGGAAGCATAAAAAAAAAAAAGATGGAAAGAATACACAGAGTCACTGTATCAAAAAGAATTGGTTGACGTTCAACCATTTCAGGAGGTAACGTGATCAGGAACTGGTGGTAACTGAAGGAAGAGGTCCAAGCGGCACTGAAGACATTGGTGATAAATAAGGCTTCAGGAATTGATGGAATACCAATTGAGATGTTTCAACAAACGCATGTGGCGCTGGAGGTGCTTCTCTGTGCCAAGAAATTTGGAAGACAGCTGCCTGGCCAACTGACTTGAAGAGGTCCATGTTTGTTCCCATTCCAAAGAAAGGTGATCCAACAGAATGCAGAAATTATCGAGCAATATCACTGATATCACACACAAGGAAGATTTTGCTGAGATCATTCAAAAGTGGTTGCAACAGTACATCGACAGGGAACTGCCAAAAATTCAAGCTGGATTCAGGAGAGGATCTGGAACGAGGGATATCATCGTTGATGTCAGATGGATCTTGGCTGAAATCAGAGAATACCAGAAAGATGTTTACCTGTGTTTTATTGACTGTGCAAAGGCATTCAACTGGATTATAACAAATTATGGATAATGTTGCGAAGAATGGGAGTTCCGGAATACTTAATCGTGCTCATGAGGAACCTGTATATAGACCAAGAGGCAGTCGTTCGAACAGAACAAGGGAATAGTGCATCTTTTAAAATCAGGAAAAGTGTGTATCAGGGTTGTATCCTCTCACCATACTTATTCAGTCTGTATACTGAGCAAATAATCTGAGAAGCTGGACTATATTATGAAGACTGCGACATCAAGATTAGAGGAAGACTCATTAACAACTTGCTGTATGCAGATGACATAACTTTACTTGCGGAAAGCAAAGAGGACGTGAAGCACTTATTAATGAAGATCAAAGACTACAGCCTTCAGTATGGATTACACCTTAACATTAAGAGAACAAAAATTCTCACAACTGGACCAATAAGCAATATCATAATTAACAGAGAAAAGATTGAAGATGTCAAGGATATTATTTTACTTGGATCCACAGTCAATACCCATGGAAGCAACAGTCAGGAAATCAACTGATGCATTTTATTGAGTGAATCTGCTGCAAAAGACCCCTTTAAAGTGTGAAAAAGCAAAGATGTCACTTTAAGGACTAAGGTGCACCTGACGCAAGCCATGGTGTTTTCAATAGCCTCATAGGCATGTGAAAGCTGGACAGTGAATAAGAAAGACCGAAGAAGAATCAATGCCTTTGAATTATGGTATTGGCGAAGAATATTGAATATACCATGGATTGCCAGAAGAATGAACAAATCTGTCTGGGAAGAAGTACAGCCAGAATGCTCCTTAGAAGCAAGGATGGCAAGACTTCTCTTACGTACTTTGGACATGTTATCAGGAGGGACCAGTCCCTGGAGAAGGACATCATGCTTGGTAAAGTAGAGGGTCAGTGAAAAAGAGGAAGCTCCTAAATGATATGGATTGACATAGTGGCTGCAACAATGGGCTCAAGCATAACAACAATTGTGAGGATGGCATAGGACCAGGCACTGTTTCCTTCTGTTGTACATGGGGTTGCTATGAGTCAGAATTGACTTGATGGCACCTAACAACAACACTGTCTATATTTGGGAAATGCTGGTGGGTCTTAAGCAGTGACAGAGGACACGATTGGATTTTGAAGTGTCAGAAACACTGGCAGGAGTGGGTGGAATCTATTTGAGGAGAAGAAAGTGGATGCAAGGATTCTTGGCAGGAAGGCTACCGCTGGAAGTCAGGAGATAAATGATCAAAGTCTGAAGCAAGGATGTGCCATTGGAGGGGAAGGGGCAGATTTTAGAGATATTTAGGAGATAGATTCAGTGGAACATTAAAGGCTAATAGACTGAGGTGGAGTTGAGTAGAGTGAGCAGTCTAGGATGTGATTTCCAGGTTTTTGGCATAATCAGCTAAGTAGAATTCAGGAATTAACGGAATTCAGGATGGAGGGAGGAGCAGGTGGCTGACTCGTTTATTTATGAGGGCTTGCTTACAATCTGCCCCATTTCTGAGCCCAGCGATGTGCTTTGGCTTTGAGCACTCATCACAGTTCACCTTAGGATACAAACTACACTGTAAAATGAAAGGTCTACTTGATGAATCCATTGTTTTCCTTCTCCTTTTCAGCCAGGGCCTAGTCAAAATGTTGAAGCAGAGTCAGTTCAATATGCTGTGGATGTGGAAGAGGGCACAGGTTTCTATCCCTCAGAACCAATGCTCTGCAGTGAGACGGTGGAAGGGCAGGTGCCTCATTCTTTGGAGACTCTGTATCATGCAGCTGGCTGTTCTAACGCCAGTGATGCCTTGATTGTGTTGATCCACCTTCTCATGTTGGAATCAGGCTACATACCTCAGGTAAGTATGACAAGCAAAAAGCAAAACTGTTAGATAAGTTTCCCATTGTGAAAGGGGATGTGTAGATAAATATCAGGGTGTTGTATGTTCTAGGTTTTTTTATTAAATGTGGTTGGGTGTGGACCGTGAAATGCCTAACACAGTGACAAGCATATGTAGGGTTTCCAAGGAGCGGCTGGTGAATTCAGACTGTTGACCGTTTGGGTAGCAGCTGAGCTCTTAACTACTGTGTCACCAGGACTCGTACATATGTAACATGTAGATAAAATGTGGTTAGTGGGTGTGGATTGGGCATGACTAGACAGCTGGCTCACTACTTTATTTTTTGTGTTAATGGCTCTATGAAATGGCAGTAACTTAATCAGATGCAGTTAGGAAGAGGGACATTGTTCTTATGTTCTCTGTGCTTGCCTTCATTCACTCATTCATTCATCTGGGGATCTTATTAAAAATGCAGATTCTGATTTAAGTCTGGGGTAGAGCCCTGAGATTCTGCATGTTCCCTCAGGATGCCTTTGCTGCTGGTGTGCAGGCTGTGCTATGAGTAACAAAGATACGGAGTAATTCACTCCATGATCACTGGACACCTGCAGCATGTATACACTGAGCCAGGAATTAGGATGTAAAGATGTTAGGACCGTCCTTGTCCCCAAGGAGTCCATAAGTGCGGGGTGGGGGGGTGGGGACAGAATAATTATAATATGATAAATAACACAATGGAAGTATGTAACATGAACAGAATGTTAGGGGATGAAAGACAGGGAACGACAAACTGGAGGTTTTTTTATTTTTTTTTTTAAAGGTCTTCACAAAGGAAGTGATATTTGAGCCAGGATCTTGAATAATGAATATGACTCTGCGAGGCAGAGAACTGAGTCTTTAAAGAGAGAAATTAATCCCTATTTTATGATGTTATTTTATCTATTAAAAATTTTGATAGAAAAATGTTAGAATATATTATTCTCTGTTAATAGCACTATTAATGATTTAATACATATTATTAAGGGGACTGTATGGAATGCTTATTTCTAGACTGGTTAGGGGCCTCTTGGATTTTTAGTCTTTTTGAGAGTTAAGACCTTTCTTCATTGTTTGTTTCTCTTTCATTTCATTCGCCAGGGGACAGAAGCCAAAGCAGTGTCCATGCCAGAGAAGTGGAAATCGGGTGGTGTGTATAAGCTGCAGTACACGCACCCCCTCTGTAATGGCGGCTCTGCTGCTCTCACCTGTGTGCCTTTGGGAAACCTCATCGTCATAAATGGTGATTGGATAGCAGAGTCATGGTCTTTAGTGCATGAATACCTACATGTTTCTCTCCAAATGTTTTATAGTCACTTCAGTGACTGGCTATCATGATACAGTTATGAGTCTTTCTCAGCTTTAATCCGTAGACCACTGATAACACAGTGTCTGAAAGATTATAGAATATGGGCTTGATGTGTGGGCCAGCAGCAGACTTTTTGGATATCTTAACCTCGTAATTTTTTTTTTTTTTTTTTTTGGGTAGTGAAAATTGTTTGGATACAAGCAATAGAAGCTTTTATCGGGAATAAAGTTGTGATAATAGAAATGAGATGAGTCTATTACGCGTGAACTCTTTGAAGAATACTTTTTCTTTCTTTATGCCTGTGACTTTTTCCTTCCCTTTTTATGTGACTTTTTTTGTTTTTAACCAAGGTCTTGAGCTGAGAGATGGTGAGATTGAGCTGAGGTCACTTTTTATCCAGTTTGACATCTCTGTGAACTGTTAGGTGCAGAAACACTTCTGAGGGTTCTGAGGCCTTAGTATGTTTATATTTTGTACCCCGCCCC